TGTGAGAACGTGATAATAGGTGTGAAGAGCTCAGCACAGCACCAAGCAGAGTCTCCATAGAGATCAGAGGGTGGGCAGGACCCGTGGCCTAGTGGTTAAGTCCAGGGAGCTCACTTCTGTGGCCCGGGTTCATGGGTTCAGATCCCAGGCATGGCACAGACCCAGGACTCATCAACCACACTGAGGTGGTGACCCACGTACAAATAGAGGAAGACAGGCACAGGTGTTAGCTCAAGGCTAATCTTGCTCAAGCAAAAAAAGAGAAAGATTGGCAACAGATGCTAGCTCAGGGCGAAACTTCCTCCCCAAAAACCAAAGAGAGATCAGAGGGTTTTCCTTCCACCTCCTTCACCTCAGCTGGTATAACTAGTGCAAATGAGCCCAAAATTGGTCTGGGAAATGGGGGCTATGATCGACAACACAAGAGCAAACATTTTAAAATAAGGATTTTTTCCCAAAAAATTTGAACCTTTTCACCACCCTCCTCTCCCACCCCTTAGCCAGCAGTCCAAGCTTAGGGCCGCCACAGTCCGCCTGGCAGTGCGTGGAGACTGTATGACCTAGAGACCCAAGGTCAAGGAAGAGAATCCGAGACGGAGGAACTTTAGTTCACTATGGGGTTCCCCTTCTCCTGCCTTGACTCCGCTCCCTGACTCTTACGCCTCTGCTTGACCAGGCCCTAAACTGGGGGTGGGGTCTTATCCTGCTGCTCAGTGTCATGTGGGTCCCCCTGGTTGTGTGCCATTGCGTACAACCAGCGGTTCCTCACTTCCTTCTTTGAGGAGCGACATGGATGGGGCCCAGAAGGTTCTTGGAATGAGAAGGGCACACTGGAGAAGGGACAGCGAGCAGGCGGGGGTCTTCCCAGTAGAGGAATGCTTAGCGCCAAGGAATCAGAAGGGCTGCCCCTCTCTGGCACTCCTTGAGGGCGGAAGATGCTAGCTGCAACTTCCCCCACTCCTCTTATGGCCAGTGAGAGGAAGGGAAGTGCTGACAGGAAGAGAGAGAAACCTTCCCTTCCCACCTCACAGGGGCAGGTGTGTGGATGGGCAGCTGCTGCAGCCCCAAGCCTTCCAAAAGTACCGTTCCTTGTGGCAAACGCCTCTTCCCTTCACACAGAACCTCTCACCCAGGGAGGAGCCCACTACAGTGAAGTGGTGTGGATTCCTTCCCAGCAGGTCCAGGGGCTGTGGCTTCAGCCCTGACCTTACAGCCTGGAGGGAGAAAAGACATAAGGAATGACAGGAAAGAGCAGGAGCTCTAATGGCCAACCCAGGACCTGTCCACTTATATGGAAATGAGTTCCAGGAATTGTTCATCCTAGTTGTCAGCCAGCAGCTGCCCCACTCCTCTTCCCCTTCCAAGAACTAGCTGCCCCTTCCTTGTTCCACAGCAGATCACAGCTAAAAGCATTGGGTGCCAGGTAGGAGAACCCCAGGGAAAGCTCCTCCCTTGTCCGTGCTTACTAAGATGGGGCCTCAAAGAGCAGAATTAGGCTGTGACTCTGATCTTAATGCATTTTTAAATGAGTTGGGGGAGACAAAATGGACACAAGAGACCAGAGTGATCTTTGGGAGAGCATGCATAATTCATGTGTGATAAGCACCACCAGAGATCGGAAAGGAAGAGAGCCAGGGGACCTGGAAGATTCTATGGAAGATGAAGAATTTAAGAATAAGACCAGGGGCTGGCCCCATGGCCAAGTGGTTAAGTTTGCGCACTCCGCTGCATGCGGCCCACTGTTTCATTGGTTCGAATCCTGGGCACGGACATGGCACTGCTCATCAAACCACACTGAGGCAGCATCCCACATGCCACAACTAGAAGGACCCACAATGAAGAATATACAACTATGTACTGGGGGGCTTTGGGGAGAAAAAGGAAAAAAATAAAATCTTTAAAAAAAAAAAAGAATAAGACCAACAGGGCACCCAGACCGAGGATGGGATATGGAGCACGAGTACAAAACAAGTTGCATAAGCAGGCTGGAGCCAAAGTAAGTAGGGTGTTGAAAGCAAGGAAAAAACTTTTCGAATTCCCCATTAAGAAATACGGGGTCATTGAAGGTTTCCTGTGCTGGGCTGATGCGATGATGAAAGTGCAGCTGCACTGGCCCCTCAGCTTCCCATCCCACGCGGGGCCTCCTCCACACAGCGCCTCACACGCTCAGTTCATCACCAGGAACGAACGCTGCCCAGGTCCCGGGGAGTGGGCAGCCACAGAGAACCTTCTCCTTGAGTGGATGGGATCTCTGGGGAAGCTTCTCGACCCTGATACTCTATTTCTGGCAGCCAAAGAAGGCTGCCAGGATCTGGGAAGCTCTACATATGAAAATAATGTCAGCCGCCTCTGGAGGGGAGGTTGGAAGCAAAATCACTGAAAGCTCACAGATGGCAAGCACAGACTGCACTGTTTTGGCACCATCCATTTTTGTTCTTTTATTTTGCATTTCTAGGTTCCAACCACAGTGGCCCGGGAAACGTTCATGATGGAGAACTGGGTTGGGTGGGGGGACAGGGACAGTGAGGAGGGGCTCCAGTATCCATTACTGCTTGACAGAATCTACCCCTCAGGCTGTTGCCAACACCTCACCTCACCACAACAGACGGTCGATGCCAGGACGCTCACAGCTGACCCCTTGCCCTCCACTGCACATCCCCTCTCATTTTTATACACATCCACGAAGGAAGGAGCAGTCTCCTCTCCTTTTTGCATCTGGCAAGGACTTCCCTCAGCTCAGGCCCTCTTTCTTCCCAAGTCAGTCATTCTGGCTTCGTCTTGATGGCAGAAGAACTGCAGAGGAGGCAAGGAGAAGATAAACCTGTGCCCCTCACACGTTCCATATGGTCCTTCATTCAGAGGCTGGAGGTTGGGGTGGGGAAGGTGGTTGCTGCCAGGAAAAGAACTAGTGAGCTACACTTCCTAGGATAAAATGTGTTTCCTCTCTCCCTCTTTCACAATGTGATCCATGGTTGAAATCCCTGATTTCTTCATTCAGTTAATAGTTGTGGCACACTTCCTCCATGCCCTGTGGCAAGTGTTACACGCTTCTGTTGATGATCCGTGTAGTGGCTGTACCCCAGGAACTTTCAACGCCTTCGCCCCGCAGCTGTCTGCCCCTCTCCACCGGCGCTGTGGAGATCATGCGCTGCGCAAGGTGAGAGCCAGCACTGCAGAGAACCTCTGGAAAAAGCCAGATGTAAGGAGCTCATCTGCCCACTCAGCAGCCTCCCAGCTCTGATCTGGTTTGGTTACCAGTCAAATGTGAGCCAGACTCTCAGGCCTCTGAATGTCCTGATGCTGAAGTACAGACTGAACCGCAGCTGACTACTTATGCAACGTGGCTAACTGTCAGGGAATTAAGAGGAGCTTCAGTAAGGCAGGAAGGAAGCCCCACTGGGAGTCTGGGGAAGCAGCATTGGCCAGGAGGCTGTCTATTAAGGCAGGCAGCCGGCTTGGCCTGGCCGCGGAGGCAGGGAGCATTTGGTGGATGCTGGGCCTGCTTTGAGGGTGATGATCTCAAGGAGACCTGCTCCAGGCTCCCGCACGCTGAGCTCCAGCCAGTGCTGAGATCGGCTCTTGGAAGAAATCACTGGCACTTTCCAGGGCAACACATGCTGAGGCGAAGGTTAGGCCGGGAGAAATTCGCAACTCTGGTTGTGAGATACATTCTCAGGGTTTCAAAAGACAAACCTCAGGTCTTGGCTTCCCTGTCAAATAAGAGAGCCCACTCAGCCTAACTCTACGCCATCAAAGGCATGGAGGTGAGACCCTCAGCACAGGGGCTGCTCCCACCAATGCATCTGGGCTCCCACTGACACATTCATGAGGCATGAGGATTGTTCCCCTGGTGTCTCCAGTCTTTCACAAAAACGTGGTGTTGTGCTCTTACCATGATATTCCAGAGTAATTTGGCTCAACATCACAGAGCGTTGGCAATTTTTAACAGCCTTGTAAAAATACACTGGCAAGGGTTGCTGGCCATGTGATTTTTTTAAGACCATAGTGTTTGGGCTACAGTTAAGTGTGCATATCACTTATTTAAAGTTCATGCTATTAATTAATAAACGTCTCTTTATTCCTGCCTGTCAGCTAGTTCCAGACCAAGTGTTTCTTTTGTTCTAAAACAAAATATCTCAGAGTGGCAGAATGAACTAGCTGGCTGTGAACTTGGCATGTTAACACTTCCCTGCACCCTCCCTCAACCCCTCTTCCTACCCTGACCTTGGCTCCATGCTATTTCATACCTGGGATATGCAGCTTTCCAACACACGACTCCAATTCCCCTGACGTTCTGAGGATTTCCTTTCTTCTGGACCAGCCAATCTCTCAGGGAACTATAACCCATAAAATTTCTAAAAGCAGAAGTGAGCACTTGGCATTCTGACCCTCTTGACCCGCTTCTGAGCCTCATGACCGTCTTGAGTGCCATCAGCTCTGGCTTACCAGGCAGGCCACTCAGGCTTCACCCCAGTGGCAGCTGGAGATCACGCGCCAGCAGCAGGAGGGATTGACACAGGTGCCTCCCTGGGGCAGAGCTGGTGACCAGGACCAGCTCTAGTCTCTAGCCTCACAGCAATCTCTATGCAACCCAGTTTAAATTCTCCTGTAGCCACTTAGGTCTGAGCCAGGAAAGGACTAGCTCTGGACAGTTAAGATAAGCTGTCCTTCCCACAGTAGAGGCTGGCATTGCTGCTGTAATATAGTGGCCTGAAATATCCCCATCTCTTCTTTTTTATTTACTTATTTATTTATTTATTTTGAGGAAGATTAGCTCTGAGCTAACATCTGCTGCCAATCCTCCTCTTTTTGCTGAGGAAGACTGGCCCTGAGCTAACATCCAGGCCCATCTTCCTCTACTTGATATGTGGGACGCCTGCCACAGCATGGCTTGCCAAGAGGTGCCATGTCTGCACCTGGGATCCGAACTGGTGAACCCCGGGCCGCTGAGAAGCAGAACGTGTGCACGTAACTGCTGCGCCACCGGGCCGGCCCCCATCTCCTCTTTTAATGAGGTATTTCAGGCAGAAAGAAGAAAGGATGATCTACTGCCACACACCATGTTTATAGAATCATCATGTCCTTGAGTTTGTATTAGAATCCGGAGTATTCTTCAGAGGGTGATAAGGGGAGTAAACTCAGGGGGTTGGTTAGGTCGATAGGTGTTCAGGATGACTGAAAGCTATCATAAAAATGCACTTACATTTTATCCTTTCCACCTCAAGAGCACACTCCTGAATGGACCCCATCAATCTCAACTTTTTCAGAACTCTTCTTTGAACATCACGGAAATGTCCACAGAGCCCAGACTTCCCTGGAGGGATTGGCTGGGGGGTGCTTCGGAGGGCATTGTAAGCCCGACTGAGATGATAATGCAATTCAAGAGGTGGTCACAAGGCTAAAATAGTAGAAATTATTGGGTCACTATCTTAAAAAAAGAACAATTGGCAATCTAATAGCTGGTAACCATGTTTACTTTTACAATGAAAGGCAGAAAGCACCAGCCTTTGTTCGAATATACTGCCCTGAACAACTTGGGAGAAAAAGAAGATTTTTAGAAATTGATGCTAAGCACACAATCAGAAATGCAGACAGAAATTTATATTCAAAGTTTTCCCTGCAATATTATTTATAATAGTGAAAAATCAAAACCAAGCTGCATTAGAAGTAAGAGAAATAGTTAAATAAAATTAAGACATATCAATGTCAAAATATCACACAGTCATTAAAAAAAGATGTTAATATTCATAATTAAGTAAAAAACAGGATAAAAATTGTGTGTACAGTATGAGTGGGGCTATATTAATAGTTCTTAGTTTTACGTGGGAGTGTTCTGTATCATTTTTATTTTCTTCTGTGTTTTCCAGACTTTCTGCAAGGAACATGTATTACTTGTAGAATCAGAAAAACCTGAAGAGAGAACTAGAGATTTTAAGTGGATGATAGTCATTTTACATAGGATATATTAAATATTTCTCAAAATAGTTAACTCCTTGATTGCATAAATATGTGATTTAATTTCAACATACAATTCATTAATTGAGCAAATACTTATTAAGTGCCTACAATTTGCTGGCAATTTATTTATTTATGCAACAAATATTTATCAGAGAGTGAGCAGGAGGTGTAGAAAATAAAATGGATTCCCTGCCTTCTGGGAGTTAAGAGTCTGCTAGGAATTGGTGATACCGAGATAAAAGACAAAAAATTCCTCCCCTCAAGCAACTTAATGATCCAGAAAGAAAGACAGACAAGTTAATAAAAGATGATGATGCCTAGCACGGGGTTAATACAGGGGCCATGGGGTGCAGGCCGAGGAGATCAGCAAAGAAAGAAAGGGAGAGAACAGACGGGCTCTTGGCCAGGACCACGGTCCTCAGCTGAATGCAAGTAAACTCCTCATGGTTTCCTTCTTGTGGCTCATCTTAACTCCCGAGCTGTTTCATTATCCGTTCCACTCCAGGGGTTTCGACTGTGTTCAAAGGAGGCAACTGAAAAAAAGAGTCCATTTTTAACTGAAAACACAAAAAAAATATGACTTCTCCATGTCCATACCCACCTTACTACTAAGCAGAGGAGTCTGCTACTGCCAGAGACTGAAGGTTTGTGTCCCCCCAAAATGTCGTTGTTGTGTCCTGAAACCTATGTGATGGTATTAGGAGGTGAGGCCTTTGGGAGGATTCCGTCATGAGAGTGGAGCCCTTCTGAAAGGGATTAGTGCCCTTATCAATAGGGCTGGAGAGCTTCCTCGTTCCCTCCACCATATGAGGACATAGCAAGATGGAGTCTATGAACCAAGAAGTGGGTCCTCACCCAAGGCCAGATGTGCCTTCACCTGGATCTTGGAATTCCCAGCCTCCAGAACTGTGAGAAATAAATGTTTGTTGTTTACAAGCCACCAGTCTACGGTATTCTGTTATAGCAGCCGGAGATGACTAAGACAGCCGCCTTTGTTCGTTAGGAACCCTAAGGAAACACTGGTTTAACAACAAGGACAAAAAGCCCAGAGCCCAGGCAGAGCCATGGAAGGGGCCACACCTGTCTTCAGTCTCTGGCTCTCCTTTCCACCTTTTGAATGGCTTCTAAATTTCTTTGTGACACACAGATGCAATCCTACACTTGCGTAGCTCTTTACATAGAAGAACCTAAATGGGAAACCAGACTCTAGTTTCCTATAATTATCGGGAGACAGGTGACACCCACCCCGCCTTGCCCCCCCCACCACGCCCCCCCCCCCCAGGTCTGTTTGCACAAATGGATGCCTGCAGGCAATTGTTCTTGCTTGATGGTTGCTCTTGTTGTTGCTGCTGTTTGTGAGGATGACTGGAGGAAATATGGAGATGCAGGGAAGTGGAGCAGAGTAGTAAGTGAAAGATAAGGGGCTAAGACCAACAAATGGGGCCGGAAGTTAGGAGAAAGTGTATGATTAATGAAAATGTCACCTCATTGTAGCCACATGCTGATGGGGCTAAGGACATTCATGTTCCACACATCATCTCTTAGAAACTTTACCCCCTCTGATCATGAGAACCATATGACTGACCCTTGACCCTTGAACTTTCATAAGTCTCCCAGTCATATTTAAAGCTTAATTACAGAAACTGCGCAGCCCATCCCCCAACATCTGAATATGTTTTTCCTAACTTAGTCTTGATTTTCTAGTATTGTGTGTAATTTCCTTGTACCTGATTCCTTCATTTTATGTTCCCATTAACTTCTTATACGATATCTGTGGTCAGCAGATAAAAATCTTGCTTGGTGGGAAGCTGAGTATTAATAAATACAGGAAAATGTGAGTCTCAACAATAGCCCTGTGGAATAGCGAGCCCCATGCTGTGTCTCAGTTTTCCACATGAGGAAACTAAGGTGAAGATTTGTCAAGTTGTGTACTGTTGTGTTACCCTGAGTATTTGCATGTTGAAAGAGGCTGGTGTTTTTGGAGAGAGGTGAATCAGAGAGGAATTTCTAACATCCTAGTGGGGGAGATCTTTGTCTTTCCTATATATCAATAAACCTAGTCCTGTCAATTGACAGTCTTCTTACTCAAACATTACTTGTCTAGCTAAGTGATTTTTTAAAAAGTTGGAAAAAAAATTATCAGATGATGTAGAAAGTAGCATTTGGTCTCCAAGGGAAGTAACGGGGATGCAGACGGGAGGACCAGCTGCTGGAAAAAAAGAGAAAGGGATGAGGGAGAGCTGAGCAACTCCAAACGAAAAATTAAATTAATTGTAAAATCTAATTTAAAGCAAAATAGAGCAGCAGATGTGGAGGGAGTTGAAACTCCTCCTTGGATTGTATGCCCTAAACCTTCCTGTCTTTCATTCAGCCTGAACATCATCCTATTTATACCAAATAGCAAAACTGGATTAATTAAGAAATAAAATGCTCCAGACAGTTCATTTCTGGGGATTGTTGGTACACAGCATGTACGAGAAGAAAGGAATGCTTGTAATTTTAATTTCTCCAGAAAGAGAGACCACCAACACTTTGTGCCTCAAACTTTTAAAGCCTGTTTTCCTGCGAGATGGTCCTAAGGATCTTTAAGGCCTGGAATCAAGTATTAGTCAAATATTTATTTATTTATTTATAAAATACCATTCTTCTTCCTTTTTTGGTGAGGAAGATTGTCCCTGAGCTAACATCTGTGCCAGTCTTCCTCTACTTTGTATGTGGGATGCCGCCACGGCTTGATGAGTGATGTATATAGGTCGGTGCCCAGAATCCGAACTGGCGAAGCCCGGGTACTGAAGCAGAACATGCAAACTTAACCGCTACACTGCTGGTCTGGCCCCAATCATATGTATTTTTGCAGTTCACTTTTTCTTACAACACGTACTAGTGAACACCTTCTGTGAGTCAGAAGCTGTGTGAGCTTCTCCGCCATGTAGGGGGTTTTAGAGACAGTTTGGATGCCAAGATCCAAAATCAAGTCACAGGCCAGATCTGTCAAGACTTCCGCATGGTCGTCATGAGCAAGACCAGTCATATCAAGAAATGAGAGAAGAAAACTGCTTCCTTTGTGCTGTCACAGGGCGAGTGGAAAATGAAGCAGCTGCTGAGGAGCCTTGTGCTCTTCAAACTCTTCATGAGGTGAACTTCTACTCCCCGGAGATGCATGAACAGCAAATCAGGATGCTGGTTCCCCCGGCTCAGAACCACTGGTTTGCCTCCTGCTAGCCACTGGCCCAACACCTGCCAGAGCACTCGCAATTTAATCATGGATGTTACCTGGTTCCACTCTCACCTTGTATAAAATCATCCTTTATACACTGGCCTTTCTATTTAGTGATGTTCTGCTCAAGGTGTTTAAATTTTATAAAAATCTGAACAACTTGATTGAAATCTGCTTTTGTATATTCCTTTCTGCACACATTTAAGCATCACGATAAAATGCAAGTTCTAGTAACCAGGCAGGAGAATCCAGCTGGGAATATTAACATGCAAAGGAACCAATGTTAGAAAAGTTGAGAAATCTCACTAGCCAACAGCAACAGCAATAATATTTAACATTTATTGAATGTTGCCCACTAGATGCCAACCACTGGGTTAGTGCATTCATGCTGTATTAGCTTCCTGGAGCTGCCATAACAAAGTACCACAAACTGATTGGCTTAACAGAAATTTATTGACTCATGGCTCTGGAGGCTAGGAGTCTGAGATCAAGGTGTTTGCAGTGTTGGTTCCTTCTGAGGTCTGTGAGACAGAATCTGTTCCATGCCTCTCTCCTAGCCCCCAGTGGTTTGTTGGCAATCTTTGGTGTTCCTTGGCTTGTAGATGCATCAACCCGATCTCTGCCTTTAACTTCACATAGTGTCCTCCCTTTGTGACTGTCTGTCTGTGTCCAAATTTCCTCTTTTCATAAGGACACTAGTTGTAGTGGGTTAAGGCCCACCCTAAGGACCTCATCTTAACTTGGCCATCTGCAAAGAACCTACTACTAAATAAAGTCACCTTCACAGGTCCTTGGGATTAAGACTTCAACATCTTTTAGAGGGGACATAATTCAGCCCATAGCACATGCATTATCTCATTCAGAGTTGAAGCAGGGGCTATGATTTTCACCATTACAACCTGGGGCACTGCAGCTCGAAAAGCTTTGCTTACCTTTTCTGAATTCGTCTTCTGCACAAATGGCAGAACCAGGGTTTGAATCCAGACAGTTTGACTCAAAAGACCATTGTCTTAATCACTGCTTGGGGTTCCCAAAGGAGTCCGAGGAACTTTCCTGACCTCTCCATTGTTTGACCATAGATTATGCTCCGTGATCCTCCAAGCTACTCATAGGAATACTAGCTACCAATGATTGAGCACCTGCCATGCATATTTGCATTATCTCATTTAAGCCCCCAAAACAACTTTAGAAGTCAGATACTCTTTACCCCAGTTCACAGATAAGCAATCAAAGGTCAAAGAAGTTGAGAACATTCGGCCAAGGTCACAAATAAAGTAAGGGTCTTTGATCCTGAAGAAGGATTTCTCTGTTCTGCACTTTGCTGCCTTTCACCCTGAGCTCAGGGAAGACCAACCTATCATTCGGTCACATGAGAAAATAACAAGCCCAGGTAAATCTCACCAGTGCTGTTTTTAGCAGCGTGCACAAAACAAATCTCAATTCCTAAGAATTTGAATCAGCCAGAGAAGGTGTAGGAAAATTTCGAATGTTTCTCTGATTACCTGGGCGACCTTGCCCGTGCTCTGTAAATATGTAATGACTAATCAGCCGGGGCAGCCGAGGGATTTTTCTAGATGAGGGCAGTTTTCGTTTGTGTATGTGATTTGCCTAACTATGTCTATGGAAGAGGAAAAGGCTTCTAACTATTTATTTAGCAAAATGATGGATCAAAATAAAAGGAGAAACCATTTCACTCATACTTAGGTAAGACATTTTAATCTTTCTTAAATCTCTGTGTGTATTTATGGGTTCATAGCAACTGGCAGACCATTAAGGACAGAAATGTGCATGTGTGGAATACAAAGAGAAGAGGGCCCTGGGCCGTGGGGATGTGTGCTGAGGAAGGACGGTTGATGTTTGGCAAGTGGCAAACACCAGTGGTCACTGATTAGGAAGAGTCCTTGGCAAAATAAGATTATCTGGAGTTTGTTGACTATTATAGTTTTCAGTTTTCTGACATCCGCAAAAAGAGAAAAATACAAATCTTGACTCCCAGGAGCTTTGCAGTTTGCCAACTCTCTGAGAGCACTGGCAGCTTTATAATGCCATCATGTGGTCACTTCTCAATCTGTTCAAAAATCGGCTAGAGCCAAGCCTGGCAAAGGAGACTCCGAATGATTCAGCTATGATTGTGTTAGGCGGTTCTGGTGGGAACAGAGCTGGCTGGTCCTGCATCTGATATAGGCAGCAATAGTGTGTGTGCTGGAGGAGGGGGAAGAAAGGGCTGAGAAGATTCCCGGAGGCAGAGCTGGGGTGGGACAACAATCCAAGAATCCAAGAAACTGGACTTGGCCATGTAGACAGGCAGCTGGCAAA